TGTTACTTCAGACACCTGGAACTGACCTTTTTTTAGGTTTTTTTTCTAACTTTTAGATTAAAATTTTTATTGCGATTTGTAAATGTTTATTGCGTGCACACTTTTCATGCCTAGAAGCTTGATGTATCCTAAAATAATATTCTCAGTATCCAAGTGCTGTTTTAACCAAAATCTTTATTCTATAAAAAAACTGTTTGTTTTGTTTTGTTTTGTTTTTAAATTCTACTTCGAAGTTCATTCTCCAGTATTTGGGGAAAAAAAAATAATTACAATCTGCCTGTTTTAATCTGGCATACTTTACATGGCTGTAACTTTTTGCACTTACTGCTGCTGATTTATCTCATTTTTTGCTATCCCAAAATGTCATGATTTTCAATTGTGAGATTGACTAGTGATGTAGCAACTGATAACTATCTGAATGTAAAATTAATGTTTGAAAGTACAGAAAATAAAGCTGTTTCTCTACAGAAAGGTATACGTATAATTTAAACTGGGTGAAAGGATTAGACACAAATTCCTAATTGTGATATTTAGCAAAAGTAAAAGGTGTTCTGAATCACTTTACAGTTAAATATTCTTGAATATGATTATGGGTGAACTTAAAAAAAAAAAAAAAAAATCTATTGTGAAGTGCTTTATTTAACAGAATACTTAAGAACATTACAGTGGATAGATTGGCATCATGTTAGTATCACCTCTGCCTGCCTGGTACACTTCAGACCTATCTGTATGAGAAGCTGTTGGTTTGTCCCTATTTGTTCTCCTGTTCAAATGTGATTACTCAGAAAAGCAGTTCCACCAGGAGCATCATCAGTTCCCATTAACTTCAGCTGAAGTAAAGGGACACAGCCTTTCTTAGGGGACGCAAAGAAGCATCAGATCAGATCCTTGAGATGAAATTCAGTTATTTGCAGAAGATTTACACAAAGCTTAGGTATCATTTAAGTACCACATAATTCTCTATAATGGAACTCAGAGAGGATTTGAGAAGTCTGATAGGCTTTTTGCTGTCTATCTACAGAGATCTGAGTTTCACCCCTGGTGAATATAGGAAGTAACTATATAGGAACTATGCTGCCTGAGGAAATACTATGTATTTCTTTGCTTTGATGAGTATAACTCACTTTAAATTACCAATAGAAGTTCTTGATATTGTGCTGATAAAATGGTTGCATGCTTTGCTACTTATGTATTTAGCTTCATTGTGATACTCTGCTGTAATGGACAAACTGAAAAGGAAAAATGCAAAAACAGACATAACCCCACAGATATGGATACGGCCTGTGATGTAGCTTCACATGCTTAAGAGAACAATACGCCTCTATCAACTTCAATTTACACATGAGCGTGAGGGTGTCCAACTGCCTACTGGAAGGTGGCCAAGAAAACAAAGCATGTTATGGTTGGAATAAGTGTGTGTGTTTTATGCAGAATCGTCTGTCTAAAATTGATTATGTTAAGGAAGAGGGCACTGATTAATCAAGTTAAACTGCACGGGGGAAACTACAGAGATTTTGGGAGGAAAAAAATGGTATCAGCTTCAAAAGTGGTAGAATTGCAAGGCAGGGAGAGACCCTATGGAGCAAACTTTGCAGAGCTAAGGTGCACTTTAACAAGAGCTAAGTAATATTTCCTGGAAAAAAAAAAAAAAAAAAGCTTTTGCTTTTAGATGCATGAGCAATCCAGTGCACTTAAGATAGAAATTCTGTGAAATTCTCTTGGTATGTGCTAAATTTGTGTGGATATAGCCAATACCCAGTGCAAGAGCTCAGGTATTTGTGATATTACAGATAGCTGCATTCTGAGATAGCAACCAAGCAAACACTAAGAGTAATCCATAGGGGAAATAAATATAATTTGAAATAACCTTCAAATATATGTTTCCAGGAAAACCTCATACCTGAGATAATAATGGAAATCTAATATATATTTTTTTAGTTTAACTGACTGCTCAGTCTTTCACTGAGCCTTCATATTATTGAGACATTGATAGAAATAGCCATTACAATATGTGATTTACAAAACATAAATGCAAATGGTGAGGTTGATGTTAATATCTTAAAAAGGTTTTTCTATGAAGTCTGTGATTGGATGCATGCCTTCATTCAGGAAGGATGAGGCTAATACAAGTTACGTAAGAGATGTTAGCCTTGAAAACTGATGCAGTCCAGTTCTCAATAGAGCAATACCTATACACCTCAAGTACAATCTATATTTCATTATTTTATAAGTATAAAAACTTAGTTGATTTGCTTCGAAAAAAAAAATTGTATTTATGAATTTTTGGGGGGAATTGTTCCTCTAGTGAATATTTCAGCCCATGAACAGAGAATGTTCCTATGTAGATGTTAGAGAGCTATGGTGTTTTTTTAGCAATGAAAACCTTGTTATAAATTTCAGATTGAGCTCCCACTGAAAGAAATGTTTGTTATATTGCTGGAGCTTACCAAAAATTGTACTGGGACTGAGGACACAAGATGTTTCGTGTCAAAGTATTGGAAAGGATTTTATTGAAATACTTTAAATTACAATTGTATTTCTTGCCATTTTCTAGTGGCACTGGGAATTGTGTTCTTAAGTAGTTTCAGACAGGAAATCAAGGGTGTGAGGAGACTGTTCAGCTGAGTGTAAAGAGCTGCCACTGGGTGTAAATGCCTGCTTTTAATCTACTTGAACCCAAATTAATTTTAAGCACCATAAGCTTCATGTGCATTTATTTCCCCTGTAACTCTTTTTGTTGATCTCACGAGAGATGAGATATATGTATGATTCAGATAATAGTGTTACGCATGAACATAGAGGAGGACATGATCTCTGTCTTTGTGGAATTTGTTTTCACATTGAATCCTAAAGCACACATATACAAGTTGAGGTGGCAAAGCTTTCTCACAGCCTAGCCCAATATTGTCAAGATGATCTCTGAGAGAACCGAACGAAGGCTGTTTTCTGTAGACTGCAATCCTTACCATCTGCGTAAGACGTATTGTTCATCATTTAGCATAAACATGTGACACCATGCAAGAAAATCTATGCCTGTATTATTATTTAAAAAAACAAACAAACAAAAAAAAAACATCCCAAACTAACTTGGGACTCCAAAACAAGTAAGACATGGAGCTGTGGATTCAAAGAAGGTACTCAAAGATGATCAAAGGACTGGAACACCATTCTTATGAAGGAAGGTTGAGGAAGCTAGGCTTATTCTTCTTGTAAAGAGACACCCCACTGCAGCTTTCCAGGTACTTAACATGAGCTTATAAACAGGAGGGAGACTGACTTTGTATGCAGTCAGATACTGATAGGACAAGGGGGAATTATTTTAAATTAAAAGAGAGGTGATTTAGATTCTATATTAGGAGGAAATTTTTACTCAGAGGATGGTGAGGCGCTGGAACAGTTTTGCTGGAGAAGCTGTCGGTGCCCCATCCCTGGAGATGTTCATGGCCAGGTTGGATGAGGCCCTGGGCAATCTCAGCTGGTTGTCAACCCTGCCCGCAGTAGGAGGTTTGGAACTAGGTGATCATTAAGGACCTTTCCAACTCAAGCCATTCTATAATTTTAACTCTCCACTCTACAATTTTCCCTACATGGAGAATGAAAGAATAATTAAATATCTGATCTTAGTCATATTGCTTAGTATTCCACCAGAATGAACCCAATTACAAAATAGGTGAACTCAAAATAAGTTTTATTATAAGCCAGAAATACTTTTATAGGAATTAACCCCTTTTTTTCCCTAGCTTGCAGGAAAAAAAAAAAATCAGTATAACTAACTAGTGTGCATCTCCTTTAATGCTCTGTTGCTACACAACCTTGAGGAAGTCATGAGGAACGAGTTTACAAGGGGGACTAAGCATTAAGAGAAGCCACAAAACGTGTAACACAACACTTTTTGGGTAGTTAGGGACTTCAACTTTCTGACTAAATCTCCTTTCCCCTGTAGTAATAGGACAATAGGGTTTTTGTTCCAGGCTTACGGTCTCCTTTCCCATAACTTCCTAACATGTTCTTCCTTCTATGCTAGTCATAGGATCAAAGGTTATCTCAAACTGAAAGAGACCCACAAGGATCTTTGAGTCCAACTCCTAACTCTACCCGGGACCACCCAGAATTCTAGCCCTACATCTGAGAGTGCTGTCCAGATGTTCCTTGAACTCCAGCAGGCTTAGTGCAATGACCACTTACTTCCCTGGGGAGCCTGTTCCATGCCCACCACCCTCTGGTGAAGAACTTTTTCCTAATTCCCTTTCCTGACACAACTCCATGCCATTCCTTTGGGTTCTGATGCTGTCACCAGAGAGCAGAGCTCAGTGCTGCCCCTCCACTCCCTGTGAGGAGCTGTAGGCCCCCATGAGATTTCCTCTTGGCCTCGTCTTCTCTGGGCTGAGCAAGCAAAACAACCTCAGCTATTCATGATGTCCTGCTTATGTTTCTAGTTCCTGCCTTGACTTGCCTACTATTGTAAATATCACAGGGCTTTCCCAATTACTATCATTACATTAACCTCTTTATCTGTTACAGCTTTTCTCTCTCCACTGTTTCTCATGTCTATTTACTATGTAAGCTATTCATGATAAGATTATTTACAGTCTAACACAATGCATCTCAGTCATAGGTCATGCTTAGGCTATTGTGATGATTTAGTAAAATAATAAGACTCTGGTTGTTAGCATCCACAGCATTTCATTGACTGTAAATAGCATGGAATTTGAAGTTGGCTAACTTTTATGTTTTTTATGTATGACAGGGCTACCTTTTTATTTATTGTTGTTGTTTAAGTTCTGCTTTTATTATGAAATTTGCTGGCACAGGAGATGTAAGTAATTCTATAAATTGCCTAAGGCTGTTTATATCATAACCTATGGGTGCATTATTAGATGATAAAAATAGATGTCTCTAATGAGAAAATGCTTAGAAATAAGTGAAATGTGAACTCTCCTGACAACCTTTTCTATTGTTTATTTGGTTTTTGTTGTACTTTTTTTTTTTTTTCTATTCAGCACGAATTATCAAAACAAAACAGTGGTGTGAAATGCTGCCGTGTTTAGAAGGAGAAGGCTGTGATTTGCTAATCAATAAATCAGGCTGGACCTGTACACAACCAGGAGGTCGGATAAAGACAACCACGGTAAATCACTTCTCTTTTCTATATTCAATATCTTTTTCACTGTGTTTTATTGGAAAACAAAGAATGAGATTTCTAATTGCTTTTCAGCACAGTTTTGTAAAGTCTGTTGCCTTATAGTTAAGCTATGGGTCCAAATGTTCTTACTGAAATGCATAGAAGTGCTATCACAAAGACAGGGAAAAATGTAAAATGCCCCTAAGAATGGAAATTATGTCAAGGTTTTCTTATAAGGGATCAGTGGTTTTACTAATGCATGTGTTCAGGCTGAAAATGGTTTCTTATTTCTTCACTTTATGAAAATTTTTGTATGCTGAGGAAGTATAGGATATAAAACTGAACACGTGTTCTAGCAGAGCAGAAAGAAAGTTTTCCTTTCAGAGGTGAGGAGGAAATACTTTTGCTGCTCCCACCGCAATGGAAAAATCTTTGCACTGACAGATCTTAAGTTTTCATTGAGGCAGTAACTGAGCACCATAGAAAACCTAGTTAAAAAAAAAAAAAAAAAAATGGCTTTTACTTTCGTTTTGATCCTAGTTTGTTGATAGAATCTTCAGATCTATCATTTGGTGTCTTGGGGCTTATTCTTGCAGTGAAGCTGATAGTGTATATGACAGTGATAGTTTCTAGAGTCTGTAATATACCAAATATTTCAATAAAATGTTCTCAAATGCCAATAACACTCTGACTTCAGAAATGGAAAAAACCCTGATAAGTAAAATAGAGAAACATTCTGATAGCTAGCCAGACCTTGTGAAATGATTTTTTTCCCCTGTGAACATTGTTTAGATTTACAAGGAGCTTGAGTGTAATTTAAATAAGACAATTTAAAGGATATTTTGTGTTATGAGTATTTATTATTGAGGGCTAAGTTAACGCCTATCAACCCCTGCACAATTTCTCTGTCTGAACATGAGACAGACAGCAGTAGAAAGCCTCTTATAGCTTTAGAATATCTGTATCTTTTATAAAAGGAATGAAGAGTTGATGGGACTTTACAAGTTATATGCAAAAGAAACTCTATGAAATGTGATTACTGTTTTGATGCTCTCGTTTTTGGAAGACATTTCATTATGGACAGGGCTCCCAAACTCACTCAGTCTCTGAGGTCTTACTTGAATATTGTTTGTCTATAGATATTTTGAATTCAAGTTACATAAGCATGTACAACAACAACAACAAAAAAGAGACCACAAAAAAACAACAAAAAAAGAGAGATGTTTTAAACATTAATGTGAGCTTGCAATGGCAAGGATTCCTGATATAACTTTGTCAGACCAAATGTATAATCTTAAATCTTGTTAATACAGGGGTGTTTTCTGTACTTGAGGTAAGTGGAAAACCTATGTACCATGACACATTATCAGCTGTCATTATAGTTCTTTATTTGATGTTTTATGCTAATGAAATGGCTGAATAATGCAAAGTAAGCTGAGGATCTATCCTTCAGTATCTATCTTTAATGAAGTGATTCAGATAACCTTTCAGATTTAACATCAGAAGCTTGATTCTGAGCTCTTACTTGTCTGTATAGCTCTTAAATGCTATTGACATGAATTGAATGACTCATGATTTTGATTAACATAAATGAAATTATAATCATGCCCCATCTCAGTTAAATTATGGCCGAGGCAAGTGTAATATTATTAAGCAGATTCTTCCCCACATGGAGACGTTGTCATTGGTGAGGAAAGATTCTGCCAGAGAGCCAACTGTAGAACAGTTCTGAGCATAAGTCTTCATCTAACATTGAGCAGCCTTCAACAGTTGGTATCACACATGCAGACACACAACAAACACACAGTATTTTTCAGTCAAGGCAGACTAGCTCTCAGAATGTTTAAAGAAGCTCTGAATCCAGAATGGAAAGGAAAGTAAAACCAACAGCAAAACCATGAAAATGCAAGCCATGATGCATTATTAATAAAACTACATTTTAACAAATGTTCATTTGTTCTCTAGATGCTTCATTGAAGGTTATGGAAAGCTCTGGACAATGGTAACAGGCATGGAAACTACGTCTTAGGATAACTTTTTGAAGTGCTTGACTGTGATTTAAAAGAAGAGAAATTTTCTAGCAGAAACATCATGAGACCTTATTTTCTCTGGCAGTGTTCTTATGTCAAAAGCTACTGACACAGTCAAGTATTTTCTATTTCTGCTCAGAATATGCATCTGAGTTACCAGTCCCACAGTGGCGTCTAATTATAATGGGGAGGATTAACAGTGTGCAGAGAAGGGACGGGAAAATGGTCACGAGAAAGTAAGGGAAAAATCATGTCCAAACATATTACATGAATTATTATACATTATTTGTATTGTTAAGTAGAAACAGTTAACCACATTTTCAGTGGTAGCTACGTTATATTCTTAATTATATCCTCACTTGTTAACTCACATTTGTTAATCTAATATTTGCAGTCCTTTTCTAAATACATTAATCAGTATCATGAAGATGTTTGGCACTATGTCTTACATTGTCGTGGCGGTGATAGAATCATGTTGTAGAGAGATCTCTGGTAAATGCTGAAGACAGTCATTTGCTATTGTGCTGATGCCAGGACAGTACTGAACTCTGATGGACTGAGACCAGCTGTTGTGATAATACCAGCTGCTTTGATTACAGATAGATGTGTGTAAGTGTAACTTTTTGAATAACTGGATTTAAAAGAAGCACATGAAATTATAGAACTAGTGAAGATTCTGCCTAGGGTATCATTTCTGTATGTGAGAATATAATCTAGGACTTCTGTTTGTTTGTTTTGTTTTGTTTTACTAAAACAAGGATGAAATACTTTTTATTTTCTTGAGATATATTCAACATTTAATATCTTTTTCCTATGAAGTTACCAAGCAAATAGGATAAGAAAATACCCTTTTCTGCAAAGTATGAATGCGAATTCTTTAAAGTGCTACTTTGTTTGTGTCAAAATTCTGTAGACTTTCTATGAAGAGCCAGATTTTTTTCACCACATGGCACTTTTTTTGTAATTACCTCTGGAAATAATGCAGTGAAATCAGAATTCTCTCCTCACATGGGTAGGAGTGTTTTATACCCATTTTGTGCTCACTTTGCACAGCTATAAATGACTACACAAGGTGCAAGGCAAAGGAGAATCAAACTCAGAGTATACTCTAAATGGATCTGGATGTCACTTCTGCCCTGTCATCCTATCTACAAGGTGTGAATGAACCAAGGATTTTTCATCTGCTAAGAGGCTTTTAGAATGGAGGATTGTCTGGGCTAACTGCCAATCTGTGTATTAAGCTGCTGATACAAGGAAACAATATGGCAACTTGTAAAATAAGGTAGCAAGAGAATATTACAGAATTGTTAGCACTTTCAACGTACCAAATACTCTGATGTGAAAAATGTCCTTTCAGTCACTTTAATACCTTCTACCTTAAAAAGTTCTTCCCTTTTTGCTATTCTCACTATTTTTTTTTTTTTAAAGAAGGTACATTATATTTTAAAATAGTTATGTAGAATCAATAATACCATAAAAGATGTGATAATTATTTTTTTTTTCCAGATGTTGTTGAGAAGCTTATCCATTTTATAGGTCAAGTTAAAAAAAAAAATAAATCTTTCCAGTGTATAAATGAGAAGATTCAGAATGTATCGGCTTTACAGGGGAGATTAATTTTAGCAGCAAAGTGTATATATGTTGTCAATGATCCATCACTACCTAATTGTTACTTAATTAATTCCTTCTTCTACATGATGTGATTTCAATGCATGGAGCTTAACAGAACATTCATGCGCCAATTCCTCAGTAGCTAACCTTTTAAAACCTTTGTGATTGTACTGCTAAATTAGCTGAAGTGGGAAATTAAAGAGTATGAAGAAGCTAAGAGAGAGCTCACAGTGGATAAAAGGTGTAATTACTCTGACATGGAGCTCAGTGCTTAGCTAGTAAAATTTACTAAGGATCTAGTTTCACCAAGGGACGTGACTTTCTTAATAGAGTTTACTTACACACCGAGCAACTTAGCATTCCTCACCATTAATATAAATGACATGCTGGCTAGGTTGGAAAGGCAATTTGTTCTTCACTCTGAGAAATACGACAGCAGTTTTTATTGGCTGCAACTTAAATCAAGATTTTTTTGTAGACCCTTATCGTACACAGATGTATGATAATGGTAAATCAGTGAAAATATACTGGTTTTCTTTTCATCATTGAGTTACGAGCAATATGTTCTCATTCATACCATTACATTCTAATTAAATAAATATATATATGTTACATACTTGTAACATACTTGAGAATTTACTTTTTTTTAGACTGAAGACCAGCTGGAAATGTCCTGAGGCCATGGTCTAGTGGTCTGAGCTTGGGACTGGGAGCCAGAAACTCCTGAGCTCTAATCCCGGCTCTGACAGTGACTTCCTCTGTGGCCTTGGGTAAGTCACTGAACCTCTCTGCCTCAGTTTAGCCAGCAGTAAAAATAAGATTAACAATCCTTAGCTACTTATCTTAGTGAATTTGGAGATTTGAATTAATATTTTAAGAGCTTTAAAAAATCGGATTTTCTTAAAAATGAAAGTACTGTTATTCATGTTCTTACTGGTGATATTCATGTTTTTGTTAGATACTCATATAACTGGCTTTACTGTACTTAGCTTCACTGATGTTCCAGCTCTGAGTGTTTCTAAATGTGCATTCAACATCTCCACAGCTCAGCTGATTGTATTTGGTTAAGCTGTTTTTGGAAGTTTGTTGACGTCTCACCAGTTGTAATTCTGTTTCATTCTAGAACATAATACTCACCAAATAAGTTTTCAGAAAGCACTGAAATTAGAGCAGTGGGATGATGCAAGCATCCATGCTATGCCAAATTAGGTTTCTCTCTTTCGCTCTGATGGTCAACTTACAAAACAGATGCATAACACCCACTTGTCAGGAGGTCATCTTCCAAGTTCTCACGCTGTTCTAATTATAAGCAGGGACACTATATACAGACCAAAATTAGAAAGGCTATTTTTTCAGGAATCTACCTTATCCCTTCATCCCACTCCAGTGAAAGTTTTTAGAAACAAGAAGGAAGTAATGAATCTGAATTTTCTGTCATTCATGTCAAAGACTGTGGGGGAATCAGAATCTTGGGTTAAATTTAATAATCCTGGCTTCAAAGTCCATATACGTGCATCATAGGGAGTAGCAGTGTCTTCTCTTTTGTCTTTTCTTCAGTTGTGGAGAATCAAAATCATTTGAGTTGGAAGGGGTCTTGTAAGATCAGAATCTGAAAGTCCCCCAAGGGTCTGAGGGAACAGGGGGTGTCATGTGCATGTGTATCTAGTTTGATGTGCTTTTTGAGCAGGTGGCCATGTTGCAAGAGGAAATCACTAGGCAGAGAAGTATCCAGTAATCAGAGAGAGAGACTGATGCATGATATTGTGCAGTTACACAGGCAGACCAAAAGCCCTGTCTGAAGTTCCTGGAAGAGGACGAAGATAAACAAGCTTCCAGCCCTGAGGAGATAGATGGCAAAACACACAAGGTGAAGAGACTGTATGCTCCTCCCTGCTTGGAGCAGAAAGAGGAGCCTCCTTCTTGACACTGAAATGTCCATAAGCAACAAGTGTGAAGCTCTGGGGATATAAAGAAAAAAAGGTCCGGATAATGATTCAGACCTGAAAAGGCACAACTGCAGTAAGACTGCCCAAACAAGGATACAAGTCAGATCCATTATTTCCAAAAAAAGGCAGTGTCTTAATCACTGGGGGGTACTGAGGCAGTCAGTTGCTGCCTGAATAATCTCTCTAGAGAGATTGCTGCTTGCTCAGGGTCTGTATTCAAGACATCAGGAAGAGGCTAATGGGTATGATAAAACTATTATCTGTTCCTTCTCTTTCAAGATTGGTCACAAGAGACTGCAACTAGGACACTACAGAATATTTTAAAAGATTTTATGTCTCTTGGGAAGATGTTGTAGGGATTAGAAGCACACAGAATCACAGAATTGTAGGGATTGGAAGGGACCTCCAGAGATCATCGAGTCCAATCCCCCTGCCAAAGCAGGTTCCCTACACCAGGTCACACAGGTAGGCATCCAGGCAGGTCTTGAACATCTCCAGAGAAGGAGACTCCACCACCTCCCTGGGCAGCCTGTTCCAGTGCTCCGTCACCTCACTGTAAAGAAGTTCTTGCGCACATTTGTGCGGAACTTCCTATGCTGCAGTTTCCGGCCGTTTCCCCTTGTCCTGTCTCCACTCACCACTGAAAACAGTCTGGCCTCGCCATTCTGCCCCCCACACCTTAGATATTTATAGACCTGGATCAGGTCCCCTCTCAGTCTTCTTTTCTCAAGGCTGAACAGACCCAGTTCACTCAGCCTTTCCTCATAGGAGAGATGCTCCAGGCCCTTCACCATCTTTGTGGCCCTCCGCTGGACTCTTTCCAAGAGATCCCTGTCTTTTTTGTACTGGGGAGCCTAGGTAGTGTTCTCCTTGATCCTGCTGGTTGGAGACTGGGATCCAGGCAGAAGGAGGAGAATAGATCAGTTAAATGAATGGCCTCATGGCTAGTGTTATTCTCAGGGTTTTTGTTATTATTATGACCTGGAATACAGTTTTGAGAGACTGGACACATCAACATTAGATGGGATACAACTAACCAGGATATGTGGCCTGGGAAGAATATAAGGATGCCATCTGAATGTGTAGAGATGGGATCAGGAAAGCCAAGGCACAGATGAAACTGAACTTGGCAAGGAATGTGAAAAAATAACAAGAAAGGATTCTACAAGTACACTGGTTCAAAAATGAACCAAGAGTTTACCCCCTTCTGATAAATGAAAAGGGAGAAGTGGCTTCAAAAGACATGGAGAATACTGAGGCACTCGGTGAGTTCTTTGCCTCAGTCTTTCCTGTTAGTCAGGCTTCCTAAATGTTTAGGCAGGAGTCTAGGAAGCAAAAATCCCTCCCATTGTAACAGTAAAGCAAGTCCAAGACCTCCTGATAAGAGAATGTATACAAGTCTATGCGGTCAGATGATATGCATCCCATGGACCTGAAGGAGCTGGGTGAATTGATTGCCAAGGTACTCTCCATCATGTCTGAGAAATCAAGACTGTCAGGCTGATGGGGAAAAAGGAAAATATTTCTCCCATTTTTAAGAAAGGGAGAAAGGAATACCCAGGGAACTACATACAGTTGAGCCTTACTTCTGTGCCAGTGAAAATCATTGAAAAGATCATCCTCAGAAGCTATACCAAGGCACATGTGAGAAGAGGATGTGATCCAAGGCAATCAGAATGGCTTCACGAAGAACAGATCATGCCTGATGTTAGTGACCTTCTATGATGGAGTGATAAATTTGGTGGACAAAGGAAGGCCAATTAATGTCTACCTGGTCTTGTGCAAGTCCATTGATATGGTCTCACACCTTATCTTTTTTTCTAAATTAGAGTGATATGGATCTGAAGGGTGGGCTGTTTGGTGGGTAAAGAGTTAGTTAAATGGTCACAGCCAGAGAGTTGTGGTCAGTGGCTCTATGTCTAGGTGGAGACCAGTCAAAAGCTGTGTCCCACAGGGAACCCTTGGGATCAGTTCTCTTCAGCATCTTTATCATCAACATGGACAGTGAGGTCAAGTGTACCCTCAGCAAGTTTGTTAAACTTGCTTGAAATGAAAAGAGAGGAGAATTACTTAAATGTTAGGAGCAAAACTCAGAGTATGGTGGGGCACTGGAACAGATTGCCCAGAGAAGTTGTGAATATCCTATCCTCAGAGGTGTTAAAAGACTAGGCACCCTGATCTAGTTGTTGGCAACCACCCTAGGGCCATACCACCATCTTCCTCTGACGTTGTGAGCTGACATCATAAAATAGAAGGGATTACTTTCAGAGAAGCCCTCATAAAATATGCAATATGGGTAATTTATACAAGTGATAAAACTTCTTTTATTTTGTAATTTAATCATATAACAAGGCAACAAAATCATAAAACCAGTGGGATATTTGACTTCTTTTTTTTTTGTTAAACTAATAAATCAGTCTGGTTTGATGGTGGTGGTTGTAATGTGTAGTGAGCTCTCTAGGTGTTTGTCAGAGATTTTTGATGAAATTTTATTCTTCCTGTGCTTTATCCTAGAAAGCAGGTGTTCACATACATACGTACTGCCAAACTGATGACATGAATAAGATGTAACTGTGAAGTGAGGGATATTTCTCTCCAGAAAGGGAGGCTTACAAAAGTCTGGTAGACTCAATCAAATTATGGATTGCAACTCTATTCATTCCATTTGAAAATCTGCATGTAGTGTATTTATGCTGACTGAAAATAGAGTCACAAAAACAAAAAAGATTATTTGTTTGCAGTCTTGAAAGTTGTTCTGAAATTCCAATTTTTTGCTGTTTGCAGGACTGTGTTTCAGCTTATCTTTAAAAATCCATAAACTTGTTTGCCATAATTTGAGCTGGCACTGCAACCTGTGACCTGGTTTCAGCTCAGATGGAGTTACTAGCATACCAATGTTTGGTTGGTACTGAGAGGCTTGGCTGTTTGCAAGAAGAGCCACCATGATGGGGCAGGGCAGGGGGTAGCTACAGTGTGACCTGTTCCTGCAGGCCTGAAGACTGCAAATTCTAGGCATCTGAGTGTTAAAGTATATGCAAAGCTTTAAAAATTGTATTTCAATGAATACCTACATTTCTACGTGGGTCTTGATCTACAAAAAAAAGAAAAACTCCTGAAATTATTTTCATGTCCATTAACTTTGCAATGCATCATGGTTAGGTTCATGGTTTAGTGGGCAATACTGGTGGTAGGCGGCCAGTTAGAAACATTTCCAAAAATTTCTATTAAATCACACAAAGCAAGCTAAGAATTTTGACTGAACAAAAAAAAATAGTGAATATAGAAAATTAAATAGATGTGATAGCATAGCACTTTCAATAATTTCTTTGACACATTATTTCCTAAAATCATACTCGAAAATAAATTCAGATAGTCCCGTCACATTAAAAACTGCCATTTCAACAAGAAACTGATGGAGGACCTGTGAACAGCACATAATAGCAGTTAACAGGAGCGTATTGATCTAGGTCGAGGTGGCTCAGAAGGTGAGAGATTTGTGAAAGGTCTAATTTGATTTTATTAAGAATGGTTTCAAAAGCATAAAAGATGTTAAGCCCTCAAGTGTTATTGAAAATCTGTGGAAGGTGGCACATAACAGACATTTCTGTTTTTCTATATTCCCCTGCACTATTTTCATTAAGTGTCAGGAACAGAGCTCCAGTCCTTAGTAGCAGTATGTCTGCACATAAGTTTCTTTATGTTGTGGGTAGACCTAAAGGATAGCCTTGTCTGTTTTTCAATCTAATTAACTCCTGTTTGGAAGACCTTGTTCTCACCTATTCCTTTTGTTCTCATGTATATATGAGTGTGCTATGGTGCTCAGG